AGACTAGACTATAGACTAGACTATAGACTAGACTATAGACTAGACTATAGACTAGACTATAGACTAGACTATAGACTAGACTATAGACTAGACTATAGACTGGACTATAGGCTAGACTATAGACTAGACTATATACTATACTATAGACTAGACTATAGACTAGACTATATACTAGACTATAGACTAGACTATAGACTAGACTATAGACTGGACTATGGACTAGACTATGGACTAGACTATAGACTAGACCACAGACTAGACTATAGATTAGACTATAGACTAGACCACAGGCTAGACTATAGACTAGACTATAGACTTGACTGTAGACTAGACTATAGATTAGACTATAGACCAGACCACAGACTAGACTATAGACTAGACCACAGACTAGACTATAGATTAGACTATAGACTAGACTATAGATTAGACTATAGAATAGACTATAGATTAGACTATAGACTAGACCACAGACTAGACTATAGATTAGACTATAGACTAGACTATAGATTAGACTATAGACTAGACTATAGATTAGACTATAGACTAGACTATAGACTAGACTATAGACTAGACTATAGACTAGACTATAGACTAGACTATAGACTAGACTATAGACTAGACTATAGACTAGACTATAGACTAGACTATAGACTAGACTATAGACTAGACTATAGACTAGACTATAGACTAGACTATAGACTAGACCATAGACTAGACTATAGACTAGACTATAGACTAGACTATAGATTAGACTATAGACTAGACTATAGACTAGACTATGGACTAGACTATGGACTAGACTACAGACTAGACTACAGACTAGACTATAGACTAGACTAGACTATAGACTAGACTATAGACTAGACTAGACTAGTCTATAGACTAGACTATAGACTAGACTATAGACTAGACTATAGACTAGACTATAGATTAGACTATAGACTAGACTATAGACTAGACTATAGACTAGACTATAGACTAGACTATAGACTAGACTAGACTATAGACTAGACTATAGACTAGACTATAGACTAGACTATAGACTAGACTATAGACTAGACTATAGACTAGACTATAGACTAGACTATAGACTAGACTATAGACTAGACTATAGACTAGACTATATACTAGACTATAGACTAGACTATAGACTAGACTATAGACTAGACTATAGATTAGACTATAGACTAGACCACAGACTAGACTATAGACTAGACTGTAGACTAGACTGTAGACTTGACTGTAGACTAGACTATAGACTAGACCATATACTAGACTATAGACTAGACTATAGACTAGACTATAGACTAGACTATAGACTAGACTATAGACTAGACTATAGACTAGACTATAGACTAGACTATAGACTATAGACTAGACTATAGACTAGACTATAGACTAGACTATAGACTAGACCATAGACTAGACTATAGACTAGACTAAAGACTAGACTATAGACTAGACTATAGACTAGACTATAGACTAGACTAAAGACTAGACTATAGACTAGACTATAGACTAGACTATAGACTAGACTACAGACTAGACTATAGACTAGACTATAGACTAGACTATAGACTAGACTATAGACTAGACTATAGACTAGACTATAGACTAGACAATAGACTAGACTATAGACTAGACTATAGACTAGACTATAGACTAGACTATAAACTAGACTATAGACTAGACTATAGACTAGACTATAGACTAGACTATAGACTAGACTAAAGACTAGACTATAAACTAGACTATAGACTAGACTATAGACTACACTAAAAACTAGACTATAGACTAGACTATAGACTAGACTATAGACTAGTCTATAGTCTAGTCTATAGTCTATAGACTAGTCTATAGTCTAGTCTATAGTCTAGTCTTTAGTCTAGTCTATAGTCTAGTCTATAGTCTAGTTTTTAGTCTAGTCTATAGTCTAGTTTATAGTCTAGTCTTTAGTCTAGTCTATAGTCTAGTCTATAGTCTAGTCTATAGTCTAGTCTATAGTCTAGTTTATAGTCTAGTCTATAGTCTAGTCTATAGTCTAGTCTATAGTCTAGTCTATAGTCTAGTCTATAGTCTAGTCTATAGTCTAGTCTATAGTCTAGTCTATAGTCTAGTCTATAGTCTAGTCTATAGTCTAGTCTATAGTCTAGTCTATAGTCTAGTCTGTAGTCTAGTCTATAGTCTAGTCTATAGTCTAGTCTATAGTCTAGTCTTTAGTCTAGTCTATAGTCTAGTCTATAGTCTAGTCTTTAGTCTAGTCTATAGTCTAGTCTATAGTCTAGTCTATAGTCTAGTCTATAGTCTAGTCTATAGTCTAGTCTATAGTCTAGTAGTCTAGTCTAGTCTATAGTCTAGTCTATAGTCTAGTCTATAGTCTAGTCTATAGTCTAGTCTATAGTCTAGTCTATAGTCTAGTCTATAGTCTAGTCTATAGTCTAGTCTATAGTCTAGTCTATAGTCTAGTCTATAGTCTAGTCTATAGTCTAGTCAACAGTCTAGTCTATAGTCTAGTCTATAGTCTTGTCTATAGTCTAGTCTATAGTCTAGTCTGTACTAGACTATAGTCTAGTCTACAGTCTACTCTATCGTCTAGTCTATAGTCTAGTTTATAGTCTAGTCTACAGTCTAGTCTACAGTCTAGTCTATAGTCTAGTCTATAGTCTAGTCTATAGTCTAGTCTATAGTCTATAGTCTAGTCTATAGTCTAGTCTATAGTCTAGTCTATAGTCTAGTCCAGTCTATAGTCTAGTCTATAGTTTAGTCTATAGTCTAGTCTATAGTCTAGTCTATAGTCTAGTCTATAGTCTAGTCTATAGTCTAGTCTATAGTCTAGTCTATAGTCTAGTCTATAGTCTAGTCTAGTCTATAGTCTACAGTCTACTCTATCGTCTAGTTTATAGTCTAGTCTACAGTCTAGTCTACAGTCTAGTCTACAGTCTAGTCTATAGTCTGGTCGATAGTCTAGTCTATAGTCTAGTCTATAGTCTAGTCTATAGTCTAGTCTATAGTCTAGTCTATAGTCTACTCTATAGTCTAGTCTATAGTCTACTCTATAGTCTAGTCTATAGTCTAGTCTATAGTCTAGTCTATAGTCTAGTCTATAGTCTAGTCTATAGTCTAGTCTATAGTCTAGTCTATAGTCTAGTCTATAGTCTAGTCTATAGTCTAGTCTATAGTCTAGTCTATAGTCTAGTCTATAGTCTAGTCTATAGTCTAGTCTATAGTCTAGTCTATAGTCTAGTCTATAGTCTAGTCTATAGTCTAGTCTATAGTCTAGTCTATAGTCTAGTCTATAGTCTAGTCTATAGTCTAGTCTATAGTCTAGTCTATAGTCTAGTCTATAGTCTAGTCTATAGTCTAGTCTATAGTCTAGTCTATAGTCTAGTCTATAGTCTAGTCTATAGTCTAGTCTAGTCTAGTCTACAGTCTACAGTCTAGTCTACAGTCTAGTCTACAGTCTAGTCTATAGTCTGGTCGATAGTCTAGTCTATAGTCTAGTCTATAGTCTAGTCTATAGTCTAGTCTATAGTCTAGTCTATAGTCTACTCTATAGTCTAGTCTATAGTCTACTCTATAGTCTAGTCTATAGTCTAGTCTATAGTCTAGTCTATAGTCTAGTCTATAGTCTAGTCTATAGTCTAGTCTATAGTCTAGTCTATAGTCTAGTCTATAGTCTAGTCTATAGTCTAGTCTATAGCCTAGTCTATAGTGTAGTCTATAGTCTAGTCTATAGTCTAGTCTATAGTCTAGTCTATAGTCTAGTCTATAGTCTACTCTATCGTCTATTCTATAGTCTAGTCTATAGTCTAGTCTTGTCTATAATCTAGTCTATAGTCTAGTCTATAGTCTACTCTAGTCTATAGTCTAGTCTATAGTCTACTCTAGTCTATAGTCTAGTCTATAGTCTACTCTAGTCTATAGTCTAGTCTATAGTCTAGTCTATAGTCTAGTCTATAGTCTAGTCCATAGTCTAGTCTATAGTCTAGTCTATAGTCTAGTCTATAGTCTAGTCTATAGTCTAGTCTATAGTCTAGTCTATAGTCTAGTCTATAGTCTAGTCTATAGTCTAGTCTATAGTCTAGTCTATAGTCTAGTCTATAGTCTAGTCTATAGTCTAGTCTATAGTCTAGTCTATAGTCTAGTCCAGTCTATAGTCTAGTCTATAGTTTAGTCTATAGTCTAGTCTATAGTCTAGTCTATAGTCTAGTCTATAGTCTAGTCTATAGTCTAGTCTATAGTCTAGTCTATAGTCTAGTCTATAGTCTAGTCTATAGTCTAGTCTATAGTCTAGTCTATAGTCTAGTCTATAGTCTAGTCTATAGTCTAGTCTATAGTCTAGTCTATAGTCTAGTCTACAGTCTACTCTATCGTCTAGTTTATAGTCTAGTCTACAGTCTAGTCTACAGTCTAGTCTATAGTCTGGTCGATAGTCTAGTCTATAGTCTAGTCTATAGTCTAGTCTATAGTCTAGTCTATAGTCTAGTCTATAGTCTACTCTATAGTCTAGTCTATAGTCTACTCTATAGTCTAGTCTATAGTCTAGTCTATAGTCTAGTCTATAGTCTAGTCTATAGTCTAGTCTATAGTCTAGTCTATAGTCTAGTCTATAGCCTAGTCTATAGTGTAGTCTATAGTCTAGTCTATAGTCTAGTCTATAGTCTAGTCTATAGTCTAGTCTATAGTCTAGTCTATAGTCTAGTCTATAGTCTACTCTATCGTCTACTCTATCGTCTAGTCTATAGTCTAGTCTTGTCTATAATCTAGTCTATAGTCTAGTCTATAGTCTACTCTAGTCTATAGTCTAGTCTATAGTCTACTCTAGTCTATAGTCTAGTCTATAGTCTACTCTAGTCTATAGTCTAGTCTATAGTCTAGTCTATAGTCTAGTCCATAGTCTAGTCTATATTTATATTATTTAGATTATTTTAATTATTATATTTATATTACTTACTTTTATATTTTTGATATTAATTTGGGTTTTTTCCTTTCTCAAGTAGTGCCCGCTATGGCCACTGGCATAAAGACAAAACCCAGGCCCAAGTAAAAAATGTACCACGTCTTATTGTCTTTATAACGGGCGGCGTATCCATGTCCGAAATGCGTTGTGCTTACGAAGTAACAAATGCTATTAAAAATTGGGAAGTCATTATTGGCTCGTCGCATATTTTGACACCCGAAAATTTCTTAAGTGATTTGGGTTCGCTTTCCAAAGAAGACTAGAAGTGTGTTAAAATAAATGAAGCAACAGAAGAGCAGGCAGAAAATAATGCTTAACAACAACAACAAGACAACAGTATAATTATTTACTATTATATAATTTATAAAATAATAATTATAAGAACAATTTAAAAAACTAAAATAATATTCAAATTAAAGCTTAGACAACAAAGGTGAAAAAAAAACAAATGTGTAGTAAAAATTTGAAATATTTAAATAATAAACAAAACAATTATGTTTTTTTGTCTTTTTTTAAATTATTGGCTAACAACAAAAAAAAACATTTAACTTCTTATTAACTTAATAATAACTAAATAATTGTGCAATTTCTGATGTTTTTTAGAAGTTTTTTTTTTCAAAAAAATTTAAATTAAAAATGTTTTAATTATTAAATTATTTAAATTTAAAATAAATAATTACTTAAAAAGAAATGTTACTGCAATAGAAAAAGTTTCTAAAAACAAAATAAAAATTATTTATCTCTATATGTTTAAACATCTGCTGCTAAAATGTCTTCTTTAATAAAAAATAGAACAAATTATATTGTTAACAAAAAAAGAAAAAGATAAAAAGATTTAGCAACTTTTTTCAAAATGTTTGTCAAGTAAAGTTAATGGGAAAATATTAAAAGAAAAGTTTAAACAACATAAATAAGTTTTTACTTAAATTCTCTTTGATTAAACTTTTTTTGATTAAGACAACAACAAAAATTACTCTATTATTAAAAAAAAAAAAATATTAAACAAAAAAATGGTGTATTTGTAGTATCGTTTAAAATTTCACACTTTATATACATACTTACATAAAATTATATATTTATATGTATTTAAACAATATATTTATAAAAATAACAAAAACAAAGAATTACCACAAAATTTAAATAAAAAAAACACAATACAATTATATAAACTTTCTCTTCTCTTTAAAATTAAAAACTAAAAACGTATTAAGAAAAAAAAATTAACGAAAAAGAAACACGAAAAAGTATTGACAAAAATTAAAAACGAAATAAAAGCTAAGAAATCATAACAACTTAAAAAGAAAAGAACAAACGAATTGAAAACAAAACATTTTAAATGAAAAATTTTAAAGATATCATAAAAAAAATTCTTAAAAATTCAATTCATATTAAAATAAAAACACATGTTATCCCTGAAATTCTGAAAAAATGAAAAATGAAATGATGAAAACTGTTATAAAAGAAGAAAAAAGATTAACTCTGTAAGAAAACACAGAAATCTCTTATACAAATCCCAGAGTACAGAGTAAAACTGTTAAGACTTCAACAAAAGAAAAAAAAATGAAGGAGTTACTTCCTAAAACGATTCGCAAGGGAAACCATTTGAAAATTATATATTTCAGAAACAAACTAAAGAGTATTTCATTTGAACACGAACATTTTCCCCCCTACAAATCGTGTTAGTGTAACGATTCGTATTAATGCGTTTGAAATGAAACTCCCAAAGTTCAATCAAAGAAATGTTTAAATTTAATCGATTACTTTATACTTAAACATGATGATTATCTTATACGATTACTTTACTTTTGCGAATTGTATTAGTTGAAGTAAATTCCAAGGTTTTCAGTTATTAAAATAACAAAAAATTTCTAACAACTTAAGAAAAATAACTCTAAAACAGTTATAGTTTAAAAATATCCTTAAAGAATCCTTGATTTAAAAAGTAAAACTTAACATTTTTGAGGGGAAATCATTAAGGGGAATTGTTAATTTAAAAACAAAAACAAATATTATATTTTAAAACAATAACTATTCTCTAATCTGGCCTATAAACTAGACTATAGTCTGGACTACAGTCTGGCCTTTATACTGAACTACAGTCTGGCCTATAAACTAGACTATAGTTTGGCCAATAGACTAAACTATAGCACGGTAATGTGACTAGACTATAAAGTAGCCTATAAGCTTCATTACAATCTAGCCTAAAAACTTAACTTTAGTCTACCCTATAGAATATATTCTGGCCAAAAGCCTAGTCTACAGACTGGCCTATGACAAGACTATAGTCTGGCCTAAAGACTAGTCTACAATCTGGACTAAGGACTAGTCTATAGTATGGCCTATAGATTAAACTATAATCTGGTTATGACAAGACTGTTGTTTGGCCTAAAGACTAGTCTATAGTCTGATCTAAAGACTCGTATTTAGTCTTATCTATAGGCTGAACTATAGACAAAACTAACCAGCAATAAAAGTGTAGAAAAAGATGTAGTATTTTCATCACAACTAGTAACCTAAAATGCTTCAAATTCGAGTGAAAAACCTATGAATTTTACATTAGCGTTGTCATTGGTGGAATGTTGTTCAATTTTGACAACTTTGATCTACATCTAATATTATTTTTAGAAACAGTAAAAATCCGATATTTGGATGTCAAAAATAAACCAAATTCTTTTAATCACACGCATATATAAATTTCATTGGTCTTTCAACAAAATTTGAAGTACTTCCTTTTCTCTTTCCTCACTTTTAACTGTGTTTTCATTTGTAAGGGTATGTTAGGTTTATAAAAGCGAAAAATATGTTATCGCATTTTTAGATGTGATTAAGATGTCGTTTGTAAAGTATGACATCAATTATTTTTTGCTGGGTACACAATAATCCAGCCTATAGACTTGACTAAATAATGGTCTGTGGACAAGACTAGACTAGACAGTCCAGCTAGATTAGATACTGGTATATAGGTTAGAACATACTCTTATGTATGGACTTGAAAATCTAAAAATCTGTTAAATTCCATGAACAATTCAAAAATTAAAATAAAAAATTGTTAGACTAGGCTGTACAACGCACAATATTAAACACCTAAGCAATACTACGATAAAATGGAAGTTACCGTTTTACTTTTAAAAGAACCAATCAAATAAGAAATTTTTACGGGGTATAATGTAGCCCTATCCATCTCTTTATGTGGCCATTCATTGAACAGATATTAATTTTTAAAACAATACAATAAATTTAATACAAATTGATAAAAATTCTTTAATATTCCGAGTCTATAGGTACATTAGTAAGATCCTTGTTGTTTAAAATTAACACTTTTAAGAGGAATTAAAGAAATAAAACGTTAATTCTTTATAAAATGCACACATGTCCTTCTCTCGGCCTCTCCGTTTGCAGAGCAGACGACATTTTTTAAGAAAATATTATAAATTTTGATATTTTTGAGTATAATCTTTGCTCGGATCCTTGATTTTACTTAAAGTGAAAAGGCATTAAAAAATTTTAAAATTTTTGTTCAACACATTACAGTCGGCAGGAATATTGAAAATGAAACTTAAGTAAGATATTCCAGGCTATAATTAAAATACAATTTTATTAATTGCAAGCCTTTTAATTACTTTAAATTAGTTAAATTCCAAAAGCATTTTTCTGAGGTATTCTTTATCTCAAATTTCAAAGCCAAAAAACTCATTTAATTACTTTTTATTACTTACAATTACTTTATATTTGTATTAAACACTTTGTAAATGATTTATTACCTTGAAAATTTTGCACTTTTTTAAGTATTAAACTAGTTTAAAACTAATTTTTAAAAATTTCTTTAATATATGCGAAAATTTTATATTTTTTGTATGATAAATAACTGTAAACAACTTCTGTCTCTTTTAGTCAAGCTATATACAAAAGCTTTATGTTATGAGAAGCCAGTGTTAAATTATATACAAAAGCTGGTGATTTTAGGTTTCTTTTAAAAACCAAAGGTAATGCAGAAAAAAAAAACGCCGTTTAAATAAAAAATAAATATAAATTAAAAAAATACAATATTTTCAAAATTTTAACAACAAAATACAAATTTTATATAAAATATAACTATTTTACTAAAGTAAATGAAAGAAAAATTCAAGGAATTTTTCGCCTTTTAAAATAAAATTTTAATAAAAATCATTTATTTTCTAACTTTTAAAAAATTTTTATATAAAATACTATATTATATTTCCAAACCCAATTTATGCAGTAAAATATTGTATAAAGGTTTTCAGAACTATTAAACAAAGTGTTCAAAACCTAAAAAAATTTAACAAACTTTTTAAAATGTTTATAAAAAAATCAAATTACTCTTTTCCCCTAAAGCTTTTAAAAGCGGATACTTAACTAAAGCATTAAACACAGTAAACAATTTATTAAAATATTGTAAATCTATAAAAAAATTTACAACAAAAATTCTATATTTGCAATTTATTTGTGTATGTGTCAAATTGCAAATTGAATTTTTAAAACAAATCATTAAAAATATAAATTCTATAAATAATATTATTCATATTATTTATAAATAAACTAAAAACAACAACAAAAATATAATTTGCAATTTGTTTGTGTATGTGTCAAATTTGCAAATAAAATTATTCTAATTAACAAAAAAGAATAATAAATTTTATTTATAATATCAAGGATATTATTTATAAAATTTATAATTTTAAAAATAAACAAAAGCAACAACAAAAAATAACTTAAAAAATACTTAAAAACATAAACAACAGCGAAAATCGTTAACACAAAACGTGAATTGTGTTTTTAAAATACAAACAGTAATGCCAACTGTTTATAAATAAAGTGCTTTAAAACGACATCAGCAAATAGGGTAAATTTTAAGCTTTAATCGAGAAAATGTGTTTTTGCTCCCTTTTCGGGGTCTAATAGCTGTTTTAGGGAGCAATTTTAATAAATAACAATTTGTTTAGAAAATTTAGAATTTTCTTTAAAATAAATAGATTTTTAAAAAAGTCCTTAAAAATTCTTATAAAAGTCTTTCAGAAATGTATCTATTAATTAAGAAACTAGTGGGATTTTGAAAAAATTTCAATAATTTAAACAAATTTAGCAAAAATTTAACTCTTTTTTATGAAATCCTATAAAATCTAAAGATTTTCTGTCTAAAGCATATAACTAAAAGTTCTTAATAGATTTTCCAAATAATTTTGCACGAATATTTGGAGAATTTATAAAATAACATCTTTAGGGCTTTAATGGTTGTATGATTGAGAAGAGAAAGTCATTTGATTTTATAAAAATTTCATATTGTTCAAAAAAGCCAATCAAATGCTAAATTCTTTAAAAAAGGTTAATAAAAACTTAAAAAACATTTAAACAACAATTTGCTTCTTTTAAAATCAATAAGAATAAAAATTCTTAACAATAGTTTAAAAAAATCATAAAAACAAACAATAACTTATTAAGAAATCTAACAATTATTTATCAAATTATACAATTTTTGACAGAAAACTAAGAAATAATATTAAATTAAACTTTTTCAAGAAAATAGTTATTTCAACATTTTAAATTAACAACAAATATTAAAGGAAAATACTTAAAATTTAAATAAATTATTAAAATAAGTTAAAAAAGAATAAAACAGGAAAAATATTATTAAAATAAGATTAAAAAATAAATACAAACAAGAAAATATATTGAAAAAATATACAAAATTAAAAACTTTCAATAATAAATTATTGAAAAAAGGTTAAAAACAATAACTTTTAATATAAAACGTTATTAAAAACAGTTAAAAAACAAGAACTTTTAACATAACAAATAAAAACTGTTCAAAAAAGAACTTAAAAACTGAAAAAATAACTTAAAAAGGTTAAAAAATCAACCCTAATAACAAAATTTTATTTAAAAAAAGTTAAAATCAACATCGTTTAACAGAAAAATTATGAAATATGCTAAAAAAAAGGAACCACACACCAAAAACCTTTACTTATTAGTAAGTCAGCGTTATCATGACAAAATAATATTAACAAAACCCCTTAAACTAAAAAAGTATTAAAGAAAAAAGTGGATATATAAAGGTTCAAGTTGAAATATTATTATCACTCCTAAAATAATTGAACATTTACACAATTTAAGAAAAACATTGATGTAAAATTTTGTGAAAATTTTTAAGCAAAAAACCCAATAACAATAGTAATAATAAAATTATAATAAAAATTGTTTAATATATTTTATTAAAATATTAAATAAAATTTAATTTTCTTAAGAAAACTTAAATTTTTTTATAAAATTTTATCATTGTTTAAAAGTTTAAAATATTTATTTAAGATTCTAACAATTTTGAAATTTTTCCGTAATTTAAATTATGATAAACTGTCTAAGTTTTGTTTAAATTATTTGCTATTGGGTTTTTTGTTAATTATTATTTATATTCAACTACTATTTAATGAATTTCTTATTAAAGTAGTAGTTTTGTTTTAGAAATGTTCAATTAAATCATAGAAAATAATAAAAAACTAAGTTTTCCTGTTAAAAATCGTAGAAAGGTTTAATAATTCACATCACATCAACTGAAAAACAAATCAACAACTATTGGCATCGTTTTAAGCCGCTCTTGAGCCTTTCAAACTAACGGCGATATTGAGCTGACATATGGCAACACCTTAACGTAAACAACTTATTATTAGTGTTGTCCACTCGCTATATTAGAAAAAACGCCTGGATATGGAAGGAAACAATAATTTAAAGGAAAATTATGAAATATGAAAAGAAAATGGAGTAATTTCATTAAAATATTAAAATTAGAGGAAAAAATCTAAGGAAACTTATGATAAATACTAAAAACTAATAAAAACACGCTATACAAACAACTAAAGCAAAAAATTTTAAGAAAAAAGTTTGAAAAATACGCCATCTTGAAACCTAAAACCAAAAGATGTCAGAGATGAATACTATAAGCAGATTTATATAAATAAAAGAGAGCATGAATTGAAGTAAAACCCAACAGAACTTAAAAAAAAACTAAATTGTTGAAAAAGATTAAAACCAAACAACATCTAACAAAAATACTTTTTAAAGCTTTGACGGGGCTTTAATAAGTATTTAAGAGTTACCGCTATTAAATTTAAAACTAAAATTAACAAAATCTTCAAAATAAAGAGAATTGCTAGAAAACCCAACAACTTTAGAGAAATGCGACTCTTTCGGAAATAGATGAAAGGAACAATTTTGTAGCCAAATTTTCAACTTATGGCTTTTAGATGCAGTATTTAGTCTTACGAATATAATAATCATTTAAACCAACAACAACATATAAATTATTTAAAAAATATTAAAATAAACATAAAAAATATGAAAACGTATTTAAAATGAAAGTATTAAAATATACATAATTGAAACAATATTACGAAAATTATTTAAAAAACCGCTTAACATTTTAATATATTTTTAATGTGGGTTATTAGTTAATATTATTAATTTACATAAATGTAAACAATAACATCTATAACAGAAAGAATATTCCAAGAAAAAATCTTTAAATAGAAACAATAACATCTGATTAATAACTGAATATTCCAATAAAAATCTTTAAAGATTTTTACAACAACAACAGAAATTTGTAGTTTATAAGTTAAAAAAGTATTAATCATACTTAAACCCCCTGAAAAATTGGGGAAACAATTTGTAGTTTGTAAGTGAAAGAAAAAGGTTTTAAATATTTTTTATTAATATTAAAGATTGAAAAGATGAAAAGGAAATTAAGACTATTACACAACGTAAAATAATAAGCGCTTAATAGCAGCTTAGTTTTGGAAACAATAGACAACATTGTTGTAAAAGGAAACTGAATTCAAAAGGAAACAATTCTAACCCAACTTTTTTTCCAAACTAAAACAAAAATTTCTTAAAAATAATAACAAACAAAAAGAAAATTTTGTGTTTAGATTATCCGAAATCTTTTAAAAAGGTTTACTTTATATTAATTTCCAAGATTATTCAAATATTTTTGAAAAAAAAAAAAATACTTAGGAGAAGAAAGTAACCCCACTTTTTCTAATAAAAACAAAATTTTATTAAAAAAATGTACAATTTTTATGAAATTTAATAGAACACATGTTAAACTATTAAATTTTATAAAAAATATATCAAAAATACTTAATTGAAACAAAGTTAAGATATCTAACTTTAGTTTTGAGAAATTTCTATATTAAATTTAACAAAAACTCTTTACAATTTTTCTAAAAAAATGTTCCATAATCTGAAAAAGAAAGAACCTAACCCTACTTTTTAACAGAAATTGAAAATTTATTATTAATTTAAAGTATTTAAAACCTTTATAACAAGTTTAATTTTCAAATAAAATGTATGCATTATTTAAATGAATAAAATATAAACAATATAATATTCAAACACAATATTATTATAACAATTTATAAACAATATACTACAAATCTTTCAATTTGCCATATTTAATCACTTAAAATATTATAATTATCAAATTATCATTCAAAAATATAAAATAACAACTTAAAACTCTTATAAAAGAAAAGCTCTTTCAAACTTATAACTGATATCAGCTCTATTAGAAGTAAAGTAACCGACATTTTTATGTTAAATACAAAAGACGTATTAATATTTCACTTATAATATATAAAAAAAAAAATTATTCAATATTATTATTATAAATATATGTATTTAGGGTGCATGTGACCTAAACTTATATGTCTAGACCGACCATTTTATATAGTAATTGGTGTTTTTAGCGAAAATGGTCTAAATATAGTTTTTCTTCATATATTTAGTTTATAATTGAGCATTTTTAATGGTGAATTGTACTTTAATAAACTTATTTGTCTTAAAACTGAATGTGAAAGAAATTTGACAGGGTTTTGACGGGACCCTGTTGAAAGGATAGATAACAAAATGGCTAACAACGGACACTAGTTATAAAATGTTGTTGTGCTTAACTGGCAGAAATAATAAGAAAACTTATAGCTT